AGGGACATCACAACATTCCTTGCATTGTATTAATTGGCATACTCATTCATTCCCTACATGCATGGCAACATTGAGTCTTTTTGGCCTGGCACACAAGACCAAAAATTGAATTTACAAAATCAAACTCTAGTTATCTACATTCCTTGATGTCCTCCCAGGTGAGCTACTGGGCTTCATGCTAATAACTTCTAAAGCAAGCAAACTTTAGCTAATTATGTGCTAGTTTATTCTCCCTTGCTAAATTTTGGCAGGTTGCTTCTGTAAATTATGAAAAATAAATGTGAAATATGCAGATGTCTTTTGTTGGAAGCAGATGTTTGGTCCTGCTTGCCAGAATCTAATCAGCTGTTTCCCCTGAGTTTCTTTCTCCCCATTCCACCCCCATTCGTAATATTGTCCAAGAGATGCTTGAAAACATGAAAGGTCGTGGACAGTTTCTAATTACCTCTCTTGAATGTAGTGGGGGTAAATTCAACCCAGTGTCTCCTCCAACAGAAACTAAAGCAGACCCTGGCAGTGATTTCCTACAACATACAACATTCCCTGAGGACAGTGATGAAAAGTGCTACAAATTCCCTGATCCTGAAAGAGCGACAGAGCTAGAGCCAGCATAATTCAAACAATGATCAGCATTACCCAAGAAGGGGCAGTATCCTGCATAGCCAGGGCACATATGGATTTGTTGTATCCCTTACCACAGGCTGTGCCTTCAGGGGAGCTCTAACACAATTTTAAGGTGGCTGTGCTGCAGCAGAAAACCTCAAGGTCGAGCAGCTAAAACATTCCACCTTCCAGCCCTCTTCCCTCCCCCATTGCAAATCCCTCTTCTAGAACACAGAACTCAGTTGGCATGGGAGAGGTCCCAGTTTTGGTGACTGTCCATTTACAGTGGCACTGGTTCAGAAGAATAACTAAACAATAAGTGTAGTGCAGGATGTTTATGCCAGATTTGGAAGCTCCATATTGTAGTGTAGTTCCCTCCTATATTTGGTGTGGGCCCACTGTGTACACCTAAAAGACATAATTATGCCCAATAGCAACATTATTAAACATACTTGCCTTGCCATGTCCCAGTGCAATTCCTTTTCCAGGGAGTGTTTCCATCTAACAGCCTCGTTACATTTAGAAAATACTATACCGTTTTTGAAAGGATCCAAAAGAACAGCACTAAGAAGTGAAGTTTCCTCTTTCTTCACCATACACGCATAGCGGACTTCTCAGAGTCAATAATATTAATTATTTATTACTATTGTGCTTGGCAAGTACATAATGCCTTCTCTCTAAGGATCTCAGAGCACTAGGCGGTCATGAATTCCTTTAAACTTCCGGCACATGAGTCATTATCTCAACTTTAGGGGAAACTATGACACTGCAATAGGTTCAGTGAGTTGTTCAAGGGGAAGGTTGGTTTAGGGAGTAAAGCTACCATGGGGACTTGTGAAAGCCACATTCTGTTCCTGCCTCTCCCACTGGTTTCCTCAGAGTGTTGATCTTGACTTATAATGCTGCCTTGCCAAAATGCTTCTCTTTTATTCCAGCTCTTTGGGGGAAGGAGGCTGGTTTACTCTCTCCATATCCTTCCCTTCCCGTTCTAGACTGCATGTTTTGTGATGTGAACAGCTGTCTACTTGAACGAGGCTATCCACTCATTTCACAGAGGACACTTAACAGCTCCTTGAGTTGGTAACTACTTTCAGTTGCTACCATACTTCTGGGATTGGAACAGAGATTTCTTTCTAAATGTGGAAGGTTCTGTGGCCTATGAGCAAATGCTGAATGACTTGTGCTTCAACAGTGGTGGTGGTCTTGTTGCTGTCTATATTACTATATTATTATTAGTGCCGGCAGGCACTGATCAGGGATCCACTGTGCAAGGCATTATACAACCTAGTAAAACAGTTCTTGCTCCAGAGAGCTCCCAATTACAGATTATTTACAAACAGTAACATTTGGATCAGCAATCCTATGGTAAAGACAAGGCAGCTGTAAAGATGGGTGCATTTTAATTATAAATCCAGCAAAACAGTCATGGAACCTAGCAGGGAAAACACAGATTGACAGTTCTTTACAAGCTTCAACCTAGAGGTAAAAATATACTTACTTTTTTAGACATTATCTAAGCATTTTTTAATCTGCTTCATGCACAAACATTATTTTTTAAATGAAACCTCATAAGAATTTATGAACATATAAGACCTTTGATTATTCAAAAAATGTACAAATCAAAATAAATTTGCCTAAGCAATTTAAAATAATTAACCTTTGACAAACCTCCCTTTTTGGTAATGGGCTAGTAACTATATGAATAAAAGATAAGTCGTGACATTCAGTGAATTACAATATTCATCCCATCAATTATGGGGTAAGATAGCAATATAATCTACATTTTTATAGCTCTGCAATGTCCTGCACCATAGCCCATAGTGCCTTTCATTTTAAATTTGGCTGCCCCTATCAAGCTCTATTGATGCAGTCTTGTGAGTTCTGTCAGAATTTTAATTTTTTTCTAATTTATCTAAATTATGTTGGTGTTTGGACTATGATTATGATGCCTACGGTGCAGACCCTCCCCCTTCTGAAAGGGAGTGTCTTCTGTAATGCAAATGCATGCTACAAAGGGATTATCCTGAGCTGTAACAATAAGTACAAATTATGATCCTGGGAGTCTCCTGCTCTTCAACCAAGTACAATGCCAGTAAACCAAGGGTGTAAACCACATGAGCATATGGACAAAAGCTGGTCTGAATGGCATGATTATGTTTCTCAGGCCATAATGAATTCCTCCCAAGGTGCAACTGCACATCTGTTGTACCAGTGTGCAAGATAGCAAATGCTAGAGTTGAGGTTGCAGTTCAACTCACATTATAGCCTGTTCTTTTCACTTACAGCTTGCTCAAAAATGGTTCCTTTTGGGCTGACTCTTTACATTAGACCAAAGATGGTGATGATTTAAGGAAAATCTGTTCAACTAATTATAGATTAGGCCAGCAGGGAAAACAATTTTTTTCTCCTTTAATATAATTCTTGAGAATTTCTTTGCTTATAGATAAATCAAATCTAGTTGGTTTTGAGGACTAATCCAATACTCTTTCAAGTCAATATGAAGACTCCCATTCAGGGATGGAACAAATAAGACAAATACCTCCCCCCACACATCAGTCTTTAGGTGTGTAAGTACTGCACTTCAGAGGGGGCTGGTGAGCAGGCCTGTCCTGCACTCACCCGGCACCAGCAACTGTCCCAAGACACTGCATCTGCCTCCCTGCTCCTGACATGCTGACAGTGCACACTTTGTACTTTGTGATTTCATGCGCCATGCTGCAAGGCTGCTCATTCAAACATAGCCCTGCCACCCCTCCATCATGACAGACAGGCCAAACCTGGATGGTATTGTGACCAGGTTGCAATGCTAGGAGTAAGGATTTGGGTCCAGCATCACAGGAAAGGGACCAGCAGTGTGGCATGAGTACAGGGGAGGTTTACTCTCTAGCACAGTGGTCTTCAACCTTTTTAATGACAAGATCACTTTTTCAGTTTAAATGCAATGTAAGATCTACCTGAAACCCAATACCCTTGCCCCACTTCCTTCCCACTCCTTCTCTGAGGCCCTGCCCCTGCTCCACCCCTTCTCCGAGGCCTCACCCTGCTCATTCAATCCCCCTTCTTCCATCCTCACTCACTTTCACCAGGCTGGGATAGGGAGTTGGGGTGCAGGCTCTGGTCATGGGCCAAGGGTTTGGGCATGTGGGAGGGGCTTTGGACTGCGCCCTGGATGTGGGGCCCAGGAAGGTTTCAGAGGGAAAGCTCTGGGAGGGAGTTTAGGTGCAGGGGGACTCACGTCTGGCACAGGAGGTTGGGTGTATGAGGAGGTTCAGTGCTGGGACAAGGGTTCAGGAAGCAGGCTCTGACTGATCACCGTTTAATTGAGATGGCTTCTGGGTGGTGGAGCAGTGGGGTTAAGGCAGGCTTACTCCTGCCCTGGTCCTGTACCAGAGATGCACAGACCACTCAAAACCCCCAAATACCACACTTTTCAAGCTGTAAAAGTAGTAACAACAACCCCCCACGGGTGTGTTGGGTCAGGAGGTGAAAGTGAAAACAGTGTGTTTGTGAGAATGACAGACACACACTGTGTGAGAGTGACACAGATTTGCTTTGCCAAGCTCACTCCATCCTCTTTTCTCTGTGTGGAGATAGGGTACAGAAGTGGGGAGAGGAGGGACACCCTGACATCAGCACCTCTCCTCTACTCCTTCCCAAACTTTGCATAACAAGCAGGAAGCTTTGGGGGGGTGGGGCAGCTCCGTGACAGAAGGCAGGAGCAGCATGACAGTAGGTGGAGGGGCAACTGAATTGCCAGCGCTTCATAGCTTCCTGGCCAAACCAATCAGGATCACCTGTCAGAGGCTCCAAGATCTACTGGTAGATCCCGATCTACTGGTTGGTGACCACTGCTCTAGCTCATCACCAATGACCCGCCCCCCTGCTAATTGAAAACCTGATTCTGCCACTGCTCCCTTTGATTTGCCACTCTTAAACTGATGTAATAAAGTTTAGATACAGCCTCTAAAACTAAGCCACTACAGTTGGCTAGACCTCAATGAGGTACACTCACTTTGACAACTCAGTTTTATTTAACAGGTATTGTTATAAGTGGATAAAAGTCCACATTTGTGTGTACAGATTTCTACTTCAAACATGCTGTTAGTGAACAATTGCCTCAATGCTGTGGAGTGATGCATGTAGTACGTTCGTGTTGCAGCTCACTATTTACTGTTTTTCCTTCTCCCTCCCTCCAGTGAATAATCAAACTAACTAATAAATACAATTTATGTTACTATGAAATTGAGTTTTCAAACTTAAATCTGAGACGTCAGGAGAGGCTAATAGCAGCTTCTCAGTTACAGTAACTTGTCCACATGATACGTACTGAAACACTGTCAACTACTCTCTCATCAGTATGTTGTATGTGCAGTGTGAGCATGTTAATGAGAACCAGAACTGCAAGGAGCTGCAGATCACAATATTTTTGTGCTTACATTTGCAACCTTAACTTTTCACTCATGTAAGTTAGTATATTTAGTATATGATGACACAGTTCCACTAAATAGATTAGAAATCTTCAAACGTGTGCTTATAAAAAGCTTTTACATGCTAAAGAGGGCCTGGGTGATGTGATATAAAGACAATGAACTCTTTAGGAGAAGCTCTATATTTCAGTTTGGCTTCTACTTTACACCCACTACTTAGTGCCTTTTGCATCACTTTTAACTGTGAGGAAGATGATGTGAGTTCAAGTATACTGACATTGCAGTATCATGGGTGCTGCACTGTTTAATGTGCTGTTCTTCAAAGGATATGCTAAACCCAGTCCTCTTCTGCCTGTCTCTGGCACCTGTCCAAGTGTAAGATAAAAATTACATGGGTCTTTTTTAAAAGAGTACCAGCTAACCCGCGGTGTCATGGTCAATTCCCTCTCAATGGGGCAAATGCTGTTCCCAGCACATAGCCTGAAGAGCCAAGCTATGCTCCAGGGAGATCCACTGGCGTCCGGGAGAAATAAATCTTCCTTCAAGATTTCAGTATAGTAGCCAATCTTCACTTGCAGCCATTGCTGGGGCCTCAGGGATGCGATAATTTCCGCAGCTGCAGTATACCCAATCTATGGGGGGAAATAACCAAAGGATCAGCGTGGTGATAGATCATTCACCTTTTGCCCCCAACTTCCTTAGCTGTCCCACTGATAAGAGCATCCTGAATACTGGACTACAAGGAAACTTCCCCAGTGCCTAGGGAGTACATTCCCCTGCTGTTGGTCTCCCGTACTCTTGCGGTAACAATACTATTATATGGCTTTTACATACAGATCTCAGGGCGTGATACAAAGGAGAACAGTATTGTTTCCTCCTTTTGTTCCAAAAGGGAGAACTGAGGCACAGAGATGTAAAGAGAGTTGCCCAAGGTCTCTTAGTAGGCCAGTGACAGAGTCAGAAATACCACCCATCCTGACTCCCATGCCACTGCCTTATGCATTGGACCCAATTCTTCTCTGCTGCAAGTCCTTCGCCATGAAGTTCCAAGTTCTATCAGGGGTGAGGGCAGCATTTACAGCAGATTCTAATGAACAGCTGTGGAAGAGCTATTGTGGAGTGCATAATGGCTGCTCCATTTGTCTGCAGAGTGACATCATATTACCGTGTGTTCATGTTTTTCAGGAAGGGCAGTAGCCTGGGTAGAAATCTTTAAAACCACTGGAAAGGTTCGCTTGTATATATTTGTTTGAAATCAGGCCTCGCACAATCTTTTCTTGTTTGTTACAGAATTAGATTATTTCTTACCCAAGCTAGCGCTCTCTCGGGCAAGACAGAGGAAGAGGTTGGCAAGATGGGCAGATGGATGGCAAGCTGCCATATGGCCCAGAGCATGCAGTCCATGTTTCTCTAGACCCAGAGGGTTTAGCATGGCACATTCCAGAGCCTAAGGAAGTAAGTCAACTTTCAGTGACTTATTTTTAATAACTAACTCTCTTTTCCCCTCATTTCATGTACTTATTACACTTACAGTTTGAATTGTACTATGCTGTACATGGGCATCATTATAATTACAAAAGGATTGCAGCAGATTATCACACTGGCATAGGGAAAGGTGCTGAACAGCACGTTACTAGGAAAATCAGACTTTTTTTTAAAGAACTTGGACAGAAATGAATAAAGAAATCCTACTACAGTGATAATGGGGAGGGGGTCTCTTTCTTTCCTGATGCCACTTACTGGCATCCCAAAATATGTGACTGAGACCGAATCAAGGTACAGAAAAGTATGTTCTTCAAATGTGCTTTTGATGGGCTAGTATTCTGGCCCACTTCATCAGCCTCCCAATCACAAAACAATTTGTTTCTTGAATTTTCTGACTGAGCAAATGTTTTACTTCCCAGTGTGAAGATATTTTAATGCTTTACACAGAGCTATTTCTGAAGAAATTATTAGGTGTTATTTACGTTGATGAATTCATGTGAGGCCATGAAATAAGCTTCTCTTTCCTAATGGGAATGTTGAATGACTGTCCTTGTTTCCTATGGAAAGCCGGGGGGGGGGGGGTGCAGGAGAGAGGGAGGAAGAAGATGGAGAAATTGTTTCATTTGCCCCCATTACATATTACCTCCCCTTTCGTCACATACACAGAGGGCAGAGAAAAGATGGGGCAATGGGGAGGATTTATTTCAGTTACATTTTTCCAGATCTGAATGCCACTGCTTGTTTGTTATAGTTTGTTGTTATCATTAGTAATATAACTTTTAGATGACATGGCTGCTAATTTTGATGTTTGTGCACCTATTTGTAAATTGCTTTAAATAACTTAATCCTGGGCATTTAGGGGATTGGTAATTAGATACAGCACCTTTCACCTCTAGGTCATTGGTTCAGATTTGTCACAGGTCAGTAGTGCCTCGAAGTTGTTATCATGTGACAGCTGTTCACTGGGTATGTGGAATGAGTTGGTGGCCTCGGATCATTTCCTGGTGAGCAGGTGTCTTCGTTACAGACCAAACTTGAGAGGAGAATTGCAAATCCATTGCTGGTTGAAAAGAGGAGTCACACTTGAGTATAATGAGCAAAGCTGCATTTCATAGTTTCAAGAGGCATTATTTCAAGAGGTAATTTCTCTATATGAATTAAAAAATAATAGAAGCAACTATATAAGGCCATATCCTAAACTTATGCAAATTTGTCATTAACTTCAGTAAAACTTCATAGACACCAGCTGAGCATCCCCAGACAAATATATATATATATAGCCAAACAAGAACTACATTAAAATAGATTGAGAGTACCATACATATCAATAATGTAAGGATTACTGCTATTACAGAGATATTTTAATTAATCCTAAATGAAAAATTATAAATCTGGGGAAATCAGAGTTAAGATTACATTTAAAAGAAATATGGATGTGCTAAAGTTTTGAAATAGACATTTGGGGCACATTAACAACCTTAACTCTGCCCTGCAGACATGCCATGAAATAATCATACAATCTCCACTAATGCATTTTAGTGTTGTTGGTCCCAGATTAGATAAAGCTAATTTTTAAAAGACGTATTAGCCCCTGTGTCTCAATGGCTCTATATTAAGGTTTTCCCCTTTTCTTCTACCTCAGCGCATCTTGGCAGAGAAGCCAAGAGACCAGTTCCACGGGGAGGTTTTCATGCATAGCCTACCCAGGTGAGCATGTAGCCACTGAACCTTTAGGGAGCAGTGATGGCTGGGGCCAAATTATGTACTTAAGAGAACTCCTAACGTATATCCATTCAGTAGTATTGCCATAAAGAGATGCTACCAAAAAAAAAAAAAAAAAGCTTGGTGATTGGTTGAATTACCTCTGAGGTCACAATGACCTCAGTTAAAAGTGAACTGAGCTACTGAACTAGCCTGATCCATAGATTGCATTAGTATAACAATAAGATTAAAAAAAAATAACAACTTTGTTTAGATTCAACCTTTTTTTCTGATATAGCCTCTGTGTTTTAAAATATGGAAAGTTTATACTATTCCATTCTTATTGTAATTTGGGACAAAAATGGCAGCAGAATGCTAAATTGCTTTATTTAAAAAAAACTTAAATTCATAAGCTAATCTTTTTTTGAGAAAATTTGTTCTACACTTACTCTTTAAGTTCTGTGTGTTTGTGGAGAATCAGTGAATTCTTCCTATATAATGAAGTGTTAAGTCTGTGTTCTAAGTACAAAATTCAATTCACCTTTAACTATGGAGCCGTGACTGGTGTCTCCATAATTTTAAAAATGGAAGGTGTGAGATGAGGAGTCTCTTCCAAGTAATTACATCCCCATAATTCCTGTTTTCCTTTTCTGCTTCAGCAACCCAATTCCCTCATCCTTTTACTATTATAGGATCTGACATCTTGTTGTCTCTCCTCATTCTTTACCACAAAACCACATCTCAAGAAAAAATGGGGAAGGCAGAAAGAGGGTGGTATGCCAATGTGTTAAGTAATTCTACCCAGTGAGCTGTGTGGTTGGTAAAGAGAATTTACTGGGTGCATATGTGCATTAAAGGACAACAGTAAAGAACGTACTGCTATATGTGAAGTGGCAGACAGAATGTCATCCCTTTTAAACAACTATCAAAAGATCAAACCTGCTGGAGAGGAAGGGAGGAGAAAATTTAAATGCAAAGGATTCAAACATAATATATTTGCAGAGATAGGAATCATGTGACATACGTGAAGCAATTATAGAAGATTAAAATGATTACATTAATAAAAGCGCAGCATGAATACAAACTTTTTTTTTAAATTAAGAGCTGGGTTTGATTTGCTATAACTCCTGGAGTGGTGATATTAATTATTCAGTAGGATTTGGACAACTGTTATGTATTTGTGAAAATGTTCATTCCATGAGTTTCAAGAATTTTCTTGTGAGTGTCTGATTCATTCAAAAATTATACCAAATTGAGTTGTTTGGTATTTAATGGGGAGTTTCATGTTGTTCTCCTGTTTGATAAAGCTTGTCAACCAATTGGTGTGCAGCAACAATGCTTTGGGATGCCACACAAGTCAAAGCTGTCTGTCAGTCAAAGATTTTCTGAAAATTATGCAGGCTGTGTATCTGACCAATATTTACTAATAGTGAATGCATGTGAAAGTAGTCAGAATCTGTTCACAAATGATTCAGTGAGCAAAAATGGGTCAAACATTAATTGAACAAATAGTTCATCCAGATTTAGGCTTCATATTCTATAGAGTACAAAAAAAAGGAAGATTCTGTCATGCAGCTCACCTGCATCCTTGTGTCTCACTAACATTTGGAGGTACAAGGGCATAGCTAAATGTACCTTATTCACTCACCCAGAAAAAGACACCATTTGAATGCACTCCTTGAATAGGAGGCACAATAATAATAGCATATAACAGAATGGCCTCTGCCAAATCGCTTTTGCTTTCCTCAGTGATCATCCAGACCAACAATCTGTTAACCAGTCTATTCAGTATGTTTTGTTTCACAAGCCTGTTTAAATTTAAAATTATTATTGCAACTAATGAGAGAAACAAACAATTCTAGAGAGACTATAAAATAACCAGAAAGAACATATATGAAAAAAGGAAGAAATTGCCTGTTAGAGAACTTCATTAAAGTCATTTATTAGCTTTGTAATGCCTAACAATCTGCTGGCTCTTGGATTATATTCTATATTGAGGCTAGGGAGGAGGATCAGGATGGTGTTTCACTTTCATTTGCATTTGTGATCCCCGATGCTGTGTTTATAGCGTTGCTGCTATTCACACAGTCTTTGCAATATTAATTTTTAATTTATGATGCTCATTAGGAGACACTTAAAACAGAACAATTATCATTTATCTTGATATATTATTTACTAAGACTTGCTGTCATGGTTAGGGATCTGTGATTAGTGGAAGGGGAATAGAAAACAGCTACAAAAGGTGCTAGGGTGAAGGGACTGGGAGTTAGAAAGCAGTTGTCACATCCAAAGGTCTGAAGTTCTGATGTGTAAGCAAAAGACTTTCAGTGCCTAATCAAAACTCAGGAGGAACCTTCTAAGATGAGCCTGGAACAGTACTTAATGAACCTGCAGGATAATATTAATGAAACTCACTCTTAGGCCACCAGTTCATCAATTATTCATTGGGCTGTAGTCCTGCTACTTTGCTGTCTTCCCTTTTTGTCTCAGCGTGATTACTTTTTTTTTTATCCTCATTTTCCTTTTGTGGATTCACTGATATGTTCCCCTCATAGCATTTCCTTCCTAGGAAATTATATTTCTCAGAGCATCCAAACAGGTATTTTTAACAACAAGAATGGAATCTGCCACTTGTGTTGCATTCAGACAAATATGCCTCGATTAGTAAGACTTAATACTCCAAATACCTGGTTGAACAGCCCCTGCTGATCTGATTAGCAATGTCAGATCATCTGCATATTCCTTGCTTAGTCTGTAAAATTTAGCAAGTTGTAATGACAAGAGTTGATTTTGTACAGGTCTAAAATACACACAATTTCCATTTAAAATGCCTGGGAATACAAGAGCACTAGAGGAGGTGGCTGTTGTGGTGACATTTTCTAATGTAAAAGCCTGTTCATGTTGGAGAAATAAATGTTGTTCATTCACCCTGGAGCAGAACAAAGCCACAGTAAATGTTCCCAAAGATCTGAAGGTGCTAGTTGTGCAGAGCCTGAGGGTGCTTTTACTTCGCAAAACAGATTGTGTGTTTCTGATTTAAAAAAAAAAAAAACCTTACAGACTATATAACCTAATAACTTTTGAATTTTAGAAGTGAAGACCCATGATTTTCATATAACAGGAATCCTTTTCTGTAGGACAAGAAGAAGATGTGGGACGTTTCAGTACACAGTGTTTGTGGGGCTAAATTAGAATCCTCTTGTTTCTGTAGTGCAGCTATTTTAAAATTCCTTGGGAGTTTTTTAAAGGTTATCTACCTGGCATTAATAATTTGTTGTTTTTGTTTTAGCCTTGTGACCCAGTCTTTAGAGCTCTGCCTTGAAATTGCAGATCATTGCACAGCAAGCAGATGTGGGACGTTTCAGTACACAGTGTTTGTGGGGCTAAATTAGAATCCTCTTGTTTCTGTAGTGCAGCTATTTTAAAATTCCTTGGGAGTTTTTTAAAGGTTATCTACCTGGCATTAATAATTTGTTGTTTTTGTTTTAGCCTTGTGACCCAGTCTTTAGAGCTCTGCCTTGAAATTGCAGATCATTGCACAGCAAGCCAGAGACTGGGTATGCAAGACCTCAAGGACCAATGCTACTGTAACCGCCACCAGGCCCCACCACGGTTGCCAGATGGTTGAA